TTTTTTTACGTTAAATCCTCTTTCCCTCCTAAATTTTGATGTTTTGTCTCCATTCACAATACTCTAATCTTTGCTTTTTTATGAGCTTTTTCTCTTTCGCTACATGTTTGAGGCGAATTTTCGTACTGCAAATTGATAGTAAGTGCTCAATGCTGTTCGTTTAGCGTTTCTTCTCCAAAAGAGCATGTGTTGAACTTTCGTCTGATGAGGTTATTTGAGACAAACTACATATAGTTATTTCTTGCGCACAGTATGGACACTGTGACCATAGTAGACAATGGATGGATCAAAGTTGAAGGTTTTTGAAGCGTGCGTTATTTGGCATGCGTTATTTGACAAGTAAGCCACATCATATTCACTTTGCATGGAACAACTATTTTTGCATGATAGATAAAATTAGTCAAGTTTCAAATTCAGGTAGAGTGATGTTTTGATTTTTAGGTGCTTTACTTATGGTATCCTACTTGATGTCTTGTCGTACGAAATAGTATTGTTTTTGTGATTATATCAAATAACCCCATTAGACCACTGTTCACAAATTTATGCTTTGAGCAATTTCCTGTTCACCTATCGTCCCTATAGTAATCTCTAGTGTGCGGAATGAATAATCACGCAATAAGGATGTCAAATAATCATATGAGGTTAATGTTCAGCAAAATCAAACCCGAGATTCCAAAATTGGCATATGTTATAGCGTTTTTTTGTTCTTCGACTCTTACTTTCATAATTTTTCGACTCAATTTAGAGTATTTCGGCTCTAAATAGAGAGATCGAGCAAAAATTTGCAAGATCTCTTCCCTTGATTCCCTTATTGCTTTTGAAAGTATTGTGTGGAATGACATCCCGCGATTTAAATTGTTGTACCATAAATGCAATTGCAGTTTCACCACAGTCCTTCAGCACATTGACTTTGCTTATTTCTGTGCATTCATTGCAGCCCAAAAGTCGCCATTCTACAGTGAGCAATCTCTGTTAAATTTCATATATGAACTAATGGAACATGCAGCACAATTACGCCATTCGGTGTTCTCAGCATGCGCCAGTTCCCGTCCCCTTTGGGTCAGTTATGAGGAAGTAAGGTATCTGCCAAACCATGCCTCAGCGACGGGTACGTATTTATCCCCTTTTTTGTGGTCAAGGTACTGGTAACATAAATAATGAATCTCGGTACACTGCCAAGATAGGGGCGTACCGCATTTAACCCAGGTAAATTCAATGATGATTCCGACCCCTGTGCGAATGTTTAGATGGATGCCTATGCAAGCCGCATTCTTAGAAATTTATTCTCTACTGAGATTCTGAGAAATCATGGACAGTCTGCAGTATCTTCGGAAGGGAGGACCTGGATCTTAGAGAGAAGATCAGATTGTTTAGAGAATGTAATTGTAGCAAAACTTAAGTCCTCTGAGAAAGTCTTGTTGCTGGCAATGACTAATGCACGCTGAATCAAATTCATCTGCAGTTAGAGTGGTATCAAGAGGCATGTGAAAGTTCAAAGCTATGACATGACGAAGATGAACGATGAGCCATTGAATGCGTTGAAAGTGGAGATGATTTGCGCGGGAAAAATTTCAAAGGTCCAAAAAACCATGAAATAGAACCTACCCCTTTTTTAGCACCAAGATGTCCTTGAGCGGATGGTTTGATAGGCGAGCTTTAAATTAAAGTGGTTGCAAAATTCATTTAACTGAAGAGAGCTTTGGAAGAACTGAAGAAGTTTTGAATACGGATCGTTTGGCCAATGGATCTATGAATAAATAAAGAAATCAGTATCGGATATCGTGGTAGCGTGCAAGAAACACCTTGAGAAAGGAGGACAAATAGTCTGAGTATAGCCGCTTATTGTGAGTAGGTAGTAAAGGGCATATATGGAAGAGTATATCGGAGCTACGGCTTTTAATCAGTAAAAATCTTAATTACATACGCAAGAGCCTCCGCAAGAGCTTAAGATGGATAATTTATGACTGAAGCAGGCGAACCCGGACGTTTATCTCTATTTAACATATTGCGGCTTAGGAGATGCATGTTACTTCTACGACGTCATCTGAAGGACAGCACCCAGAGCAAAGCTATAGAAATGCTTCCGCCATCGAGGAGGTCCGCTCCCTCGTCGGGCGATCTCGAAAGGCGACAGAAATGCTGGCGGGAAAAGATTTCGTTGGCCACATAGGAAGGGTATAAATGGGGCAATGAGAAGTGCAAAGTGCTCAAGGAAGTAGAGAAGAGAGGCAGCTCTTCCTTCTAAGAAAAACAAGAAGTACCCTTCCAAGATGCAGGCTGGATCTCCGCCAGTCTCCATTGTTATTTTCCTCCTGTGGTTTGCATGCCATTCGTTGTTGTTGTTATTATCATAAAAATTAGTGTTAATCCAGTGTTGAATCAGCTAAACAACATCATATTTTAGACATCACAGACATAGCTTTTCAAATTGACTTGTAAATGCTGAGATTACCTTTACAATAAGCAAAGGTGATACACTGGAAATGGAAAAGAAAAATCAATTTCTTTTTAGTTTATAAACGTTTTTAATGGAATATAAGTGAGAATACGGTCAATTACATGCACGTTGTGATGTTAATCTGTGTTATGTACCTAAAAAGAATGCGGATCAAATCTTATAAGTAATCTTGCATTCTTACATCTAATTATGATTTTAAATGTGGAAATTGCTTGCAGCAAGTGCGTTCAAACAAACAAAAACTGCATGAACCGGGACGACTAGTTCTTTGGGCCAATTTCACACTAATTTAGATAAACATCTGCTTCATGATGTAACGGGTTCTGCATTCCTGAAGAGTATTTCTTAGAGGATAAGCCTCTCTCCATGTAGGGATAACTTCTTCCAGGCATATTTATCTGATTTTCGAGTACTTCCATCCTCTTTTGCACATGCTTCAATTTTGAGCAGAAATATGCTACGCTGAGGCGTGTTGCACATCACACACTGATCCGAAGCGTACGGAGGTTGTATTAGTTAAGTCGGATTTGGATGCCTTATTTTCATACACATACATTCACAGTACTGTTGTTTAAAGTACAGTCACGCCATGTGAACATATAATCTATCTTAGCAAAGCAAGCAAGGTTTTGAGATGTTTTATGTCTTTAGTTTCGATAAATATGCTGGCCAATCGTAATATAGAAAATAGGAAACTGTTAAAAGAAGAAAAAGAAGGAAGCAGCTCTTGCGTAAGTGGCTTTTATCAAAATCTATTCTTACATTTGAATCAACGACGATTTTTCAGCTTCCCCGTTGGCCAAACTATGCTTTGTGCACGGCTGCCATGGTTTATCTGGTGTATTTAATCTCCAATTATTCTCCTTTACTACTTCAGGTGGTATATGACATTCCCAATGGTAATGAGGATTCATTCGTAGAGATTAAAACAGGTGCTAAAATCGAATATCCATAGATTCTTCATCTTTTCCTAATTGGTATCAGTTGGATATCTATCTCAAAATACAGGAAATACAAGCTTGGAGTGGCCGAGCCATATCAAATCTTGTATTTTATTCTATGATTTAATTCTGCAAAATGTGCAGGCTAACCGTGGGAATCGACGCGAAGGCCTGACAACATTGTCCTTGATTGGTGCATATGCATTTCCCGATTATTCTGTGGTGACCATGGAAGCGGACGGATGGTATGGGTAGGTGTAATTTATTTCTCACACATTCTCTACCCTTCAAAAAAATAGAAAATCAGCTAAGGCCTCCCCTGTTTTCAGAAGATCAGTGTATTGCCGGTATTTTGATAAGAATTGGTATGAATTGGTCCCTCCAGTTAGAAGTATTGTCTTTCCTGAATTTGGTGTTCATTGCTGCAGACATCCGGAGGCAAAATATATGAGCATTAGTGTGAACATTGACGATGTGGTGAATTTCACAACAGCAGTGTTAGATAGAACAGTGGACAGTAGGTTGATATGTTTAAAGAGGCTGTATTTTTTAGAATTACAGCTTATGCCTGGTTTAGAACCTCAGTACGAGCTGTCTTTATGCCTTGCACCACTTTATGACAATGAAACCAAGTGGCTATTGTTGGCAGAGCTTTTTGAGCATTATAAGCTGCAAGGAGTGGAGCATTTTTATCTTTATGTAAAAGATATTGACAACTATTCTCGCAAGGTATTAACGATTTACGCAAAGTTTTTGTTTGGGGAGATAATGCAGTGCACCTTGAGCTTGTCGATAACTATTTGAAGAATGGAGAAGCTGAGGCTGTTTACTTCAGAGAAGAACACGACAGACCAGGACGAAATTGGCAGTTTGCTGGTTTAGAAGTAATCTAGAGATTTTTCTTATGTAGGCTAAAGGATATGAAAATAACCCTCAAATATGCCTGATATTCTTTTTAACTCGTCCGAAATCATGCACCATAAACGAAGTGAGGAGGAGTATCAGAAATAGCGAACACTTTACTTAACTAACTCTGCAACATATTGATGTAAACTTATTTCATTATGGGCCTGACAATAGAATTTTAACATTATCGAGTACCAGCTGTGCTTATTATACTCCAAATTTCACATATTTAGGATTGTTTACAGCGAAGCCGGCACCACTCTCGTTATACCATATTTGGCGATCT